TAGTGCGATTTGGTGATAGCCTTGCAGCGCGTCCATCTTCGCGAAGAATTTCGATTCCGGCTTGATGGACGTCATCATTTCTAACGACGACGGGAATGGGTGTACGGGGCGTTCGACGTATTTGTTGAGCCCCGTAAAGTCCGTGACTAGTCGAATTCCTTTGCCGTCGGATTTGGGGACAAAGAATCCGGGACTTATCCATTCCGTCGGATGTTGTACACGGGTAATCACCTTGTCTCGTATCAGTTTTTCGACGACTTCTTGCGCTGCGCTTTGCCTCGCTAACGGTATCTGGCGGGCCGTTAGTCTTCTCGTCGGTGTAATGGCTGCGTCATTCTTCAGGTGAATAACCATAGGATCGCCGGTCATTGGTGTCTTCGGGAGTTTATCGGATATCGTGTCTGGGAATTCGCGCTCCATTTGGTCGATAAATTCGGAGAAAACCGATATTCTGGAGATCGTGTTGGGGAATCCCGCCGGTATAACACGTAAGCGTTTCAGTATGGGGCGTCCGAGTATTACCTCTTCGACCATATCGTCGCATACTATGGCTGCCGCGTCGATCGTCTTCCTCCCTGGCGCTTTAAGAGTTATGTGCACTTTACCGCTGCATTTAATGGGGGTGTTGTTTGCGGCGATGAGTTTCGGATCGGGGAGGGGGGATACCGCGAATTCATTTTTCGTCACGAGATCGCTTGAGATAATGGTTTTTTCGGATCCCGTGTCCGCCAGGCAGTAGAATTTGAAACTCTTATTCGACGCTCCGTCAACAATTTCAATTTTAATTCTGGGGCTCTGGTCGGAGGTGCACGCACCTCCTCCCCCACACCGTCAATCGGATTCCGATTCGTAGGAGCTTGCCGATGAGTCACGACGGGCGCTAACGGCGTTGATTTTCGGCTTTGCTTTTTCTCGGATTGGCTTCGGCTTCGGTTTCTCTGGGCAAGCGGGTCGGATGTGCCCCTTTCTCCCGCATTGATAACAGACGCAAGTGTCCTCCCATGTGCACCTCGTGGTGGTGTGATCCTCGTTGCACCTCTTGCACGGTCGTTCGATCCGTTCGTTTCTGCTTGGTCTTCTGTTCGTTTCTGCCCGTTCGTTTTTCTTGGGGCGGTGTCCGTTTCCTGGATTTCGTCTTGGATTCCGTTCGTCGATCCTCATGATTGTCTTGCTAGGTGTTTCCAACTTTGCTTTGGTGCTCGTCTTTCCCTCGAACATACTGGCTGTCTTTTCGATGACCTTCATTGTGGGCTCTTCGATTTTTAGGAGGTCATCGAGCAGTTGCTTATCTCTCGCTCCGCACAACGAGCTGAACACCAGTATGTCCTCCTCTTGTAAGTCTTTGATGTTGGCCAGTTTTCCAAGTTGTTTCAGCTTCGCAACGAAATCCGTGAAGGTTTCGCCCTCTTCTTGGTGTCTTTTGAAGTATTCTAGACGTCTCGTCACCAGCGGGTAACGTCGATTCATATCCTCTTGGAGAAACTCGATGCAGCTGTTCTCTCCGAATATTTCCGTGGTTTCGTTGATGGCTACCGACAATCTTGTCTTCAGGTCGGAGTCGATGAGAATTTTGACGTACGACTGTCTCTCCTTTAGGCTTAGCCTTTGCATTTGGTTGGAGGTGTAGAAAGCATCGAATTGGTCGATCCACTGTTTGAGCTCCGTGGGGGTGGC